AAAAAACAAAAATAAAAATATATTTTAGATAATGGAAACCTCATATATGTGATTTTCAAATATTATCCCCCAATCTAAGGGTTATCTTTTCACTTTCTTGATAGTGTACATTAAAGCACGACAGTTTTAATCCTGATGAATTCTAGTTTATCTTTTTCTGTCTTTGGTTACTTGTGCTGATCATTCCATATCTTTGTTGCCAAGCTTCCCCAATTGTTAATCTTTTACTACATTGTGCAACTGTGCATGCATTCAAGCTCTTTCTCTGTCTCCATATGTATATGCTCATTATCTAGTAATCAGAACTCTTTTTTTTTTTTTTTTTTTTTTTTTTTTTTTTTTGAGGGAGAGAGAGATACATGGCCCAACTGAGGGACAGAGAGAGAGAATCCCAGGAGGGGCGGGGAAAAACAGAGAGACAGAGAGAGAGAATCTGAAGCAGGCTCCAGGCTCTTAGCTGTCAGCACAGAGCCTGATGCAGGGCTTAAGCTCATGAACCGTGAGATCATGACCTGAGCCCAAGTCCAATGCACAACCAACTGAGCCATCCAGGCATCCCCTAATCCATTCAGGTTTTGCCAACTTTCCCAACTATGTGTTTCCTTCCTGGTCTAAGATCCTTTCCAGTAATTTGTGTTACTTTTAGCTATCATGTCTGTTATGAAACAGTTTATTAGTCTATCTCTCATTTCCTTTATATATAGATGTATATATATATTTTTAATTTTTTTAATTTACCTCCAAGTTAGTTAGCATATACTACAACAGTGATTTCAGGGGTAGATTCCTTAATGCTCCTTACCCATTTAGCCCATCCTGCCTCCCACAACCTCTCCAGAAACCCTCTGTTTGTTCTCCATGTTTAAGAGTCTCTTATGTTTCCCCCCTCCCTGTTTTTATATTATTTTTGCTTCCTTTCCCTTGTGTTCATCTGTTCTGTGTCTCAAAGTCCTCATATGAGTGAAGCCATATGATCTTTGTCTTTCTCTGACTAATTTCACTTAGCATAATACCCTCCAGTTCCATCCACGTAGTTGCAAATGGCAAGATTTCATTCTTTTTGATTGCCAAGTAATACTCCATTGTGCATATATACCACATCTTCTTTATCCATTCATTCATCGGTGGACATTTGGGCTCTTTCCATACTTCGGCTGTTGTTGATAGTGCTGCTATAAACATGGGGGTGCATGTGCCCCTTCGAAACAGCATACCTGTATCCCTTGGATAAATACCTAGTAGTGCAATTGCTGGGTCATGGGGTAGTTGTATGTTTAGTTGTTTGAGGAACCTCCATACTGGTTTCCAGAGTGGCTGCACTAGCTTGCATTGCCACCAACAATGCAAAAGAGATCCTCTTTCTCTGCATCCTCGCCAACATCTGTTGTTGCCTGAGTTGTTAATGTTAGCCATTCTGACAGGTGTGAGGTGGTGTCTCATTGTGGTTTCGATTTGTATTTCCCTGATGATGTGTGATGTTGAGCATTTTTTCATGTGTCGGTTGGCCATCTGGATATCTTCTTTGGAGAAGTGTCTGTTCGTGTCTTTTGCCTGTTTCTTCACTGGATTATTTGTTTTTTGGGTGTTGAGTTTGACAAGTTCTTTATAGATTTTGGATACTAACCCTTTATCTGATATGCCATTTGCAAATATCTTCTCCCATCGGTTGTCTTTTAGTTTTGCCGATTGTTTCCTTCGCTGTGCAGAAGTTTTTTATTTTGATAAGGTCCCAATAGTTCATTTTTGCTTTTGTTTCCCTTGCCTCTGGAGATGTGTTGAGTAAGAAGTTGCTGCGACCAAGATCAAAGAGGTTTTTGCCTGCTTTCTCCTTGAGGATTTTGATGGCTTCCTGTCTTACACTGAGGTCTTTCATCCATTTTGAGTTTATTTTTGTGTATGGTGTAAGAAAGTGGTCCAGGTTCATTTTCATAGCCTTTATATTTTTAAAATACAGAGCCTTACCTTTGTATATTCTGTTGAATGACCCTTAACTTAGTTTTAATGTTTTCTCATGACTGGGCTTGCGTCATGTATTTCTTTTGGCAACAGTTTGAGATATACCACACAATTCACCCACTTGAATTCTGCAGTTCACCCTTTAATATATTCACAAAACTGTGCAGCCATTTTTATTCCAAAAAGAAACCCTATACTCGTTATCACCCTGAAACCCGTATATTCTCAGCCCTAGGTAACCACTATTTTCTATACCTGTAGATTCACCTATTCTGGACATTTCGTATAAATGGAATCATATAACATGGTCTTTTAACGGCTTCCTTTACTTAACCTAATGTTTATAAGGTTCATCCATGTTGTAGCATATGTTAGTACTTCATTCCTTTTTCTTGTTGATCATATTTCTTTGAGTAGAATTGCTCGTTCATATGGTAACTTCATGTTTACCAGCAGTACATGAAAATTCTGATTTCTCCCCATCCTCATTAACACTTGTTTCTGTCTTTTTTTTTTTTTTTTTTTTTTTTTTTTTTTTTTTTTTTTTTTTTTTTAAGATTTTAAAGTACATCCAACATGGGACTCAAAACTTACTACAACCTTGAGATCAGAGTTTACATGCCCTGCCGACTAAGCTAGCAAGGCACCCCTTGTCTTTTGATTATAGCCATCCTAGAGGGTGTGAAGTGGTATTGTGATTTTATTTGCATGTACCTAATGACTAATAATGCTGAGCATCTTTTCCTATCCATGTTAGCCATTTGTATATCTTTGGGAAAATGTCTTTTCAGGTCCTTTACCTGTTTATGTTTAGGCTGTCTTTCTGTTTGTGGGTTTTAAGAGTTCTTTATATGTTATGGATCCTAGACCCTTACTGAATGTATGTTTTGCAAATATTTCTCCCATTCTGTAGGTTGTCTTTTCACTTTCTTTGTAATGTTCTTTGAAGCATAATGGTTTTTAATTTTGATGATTTTTTTTGAAAATTTTGTTGTTGCTTGTGCTTTTGGCATCTAAGAAATCATTACCCAATCTAAGGCTACAAGATTTCCATGTATTTTCTTCTGGGAGTTTTATAGTTTTATCTCTTAGGTTTAAGTCTTTTGAAATTGGGAAGTGTGAGGCCTCCAACCTCACTCATTAAATTTTTTTTTAATGTTTATTTATTTTTGAGAGAGAGACAGAGACAGAGCACGAGTCGGGGAGGAGCAGAGAGAGAGGGAGACACAGAATTCAAAGCAGGCTCCAGGCTCTGAGCTGTCAGCACAGAGGCTGATGCAGGGTATGAACCCATGAACCGTGAGATATGACCTGAGATGAAGTCAGATACTTAACCGAATGAGCCATCCAGGTGCCCCCAACCTTACTCGTTTTTAAGATTGTTTTGGCTCTTCTGGGTCTCTTGCATGTCCAAATGAATTTTGGAATTGGCTTGTCAATTTCTGCAAAGCCAGCAATGATTCTGATAGAGATTGCATTGACTCTGTAGATCAGTTTGTGTGTACTGTCACCTTAAGAAGATTAAGTTTTCTGGTCCATGAACATGAGATGTCCATTTACATAGATCTTTAATTTCTTTCAACATTTTTGTAGTTTTCAGAGTGAAGTCTCATATATGTACACACACACATGAACTCACATATAAACACACATTTAGGGGCGCCTGGGTGGCTCAGTCAGTTAAGTGTCCAACTTCGGCTCAGGTCATGATCTTGCAGTTTGTGGGTTCAATCCCCACATCAGGCTCTGTGCTGACAGCTCAGAGCCTAGAGCCTGCTTTGGATTCTGTGTCTCCCTTTCTCTCTGTTTCTCCCCTGCTCACACTCTCTCTCTCAAAAGTAAATAAAGATTTGAAAAAAATTAAACACACATTTACACATGCAAGCACTCCTACAACTCTAGAATAGTGCCTAACTTAGTGTTGTTATATAAGTGTAAATATTACTACAGTTGTTACTGATTTTTCTATATGCCTTTAACACTTTTGGGAGAGGTGTATTAAAATAGAAGAATAGTTAATACAAAAGCATTCAACATTTTTGTATTTGTTTATTTAATTTTAAATTGTTTTTTTAATTTTAAGTAGCCTCCTTACCCAACATGGGGCTTGAACTCATCACACAAGAGTCGCATCCTCTACCACCTAAGCCAACCAGGTGCCCTGCATTTAACATTTATATCTGGACTATTTCACACAAAAAATGTCCTAAGTTACTTTTTAAAAATTTTTTTTAATTTCTTTTTTTTTTTAAATAAGCTCTGTGCCCAGCATGGGGCTTGAACTCATGACCTAGGGATCAAGAGTCCGTGCTCTACCAAATGAGCCCAATAGGCGCCCCTTAGGTTACTTTTCTTTTATGCTTTAATAGAAGTAACATGTAGGAAGTATCAGTTACGATGTCAAGTGTAAACAAGTAGGTACTGTATGTATGTATGTATAGTATGATCCCATTTTTGTAAAATCTGTGTCTGTTGCTTAGGTGTTATGCGTGAAAAAAATCAGAAGGAAGTGCACCAAAAGATAACTGCTTATTTGCAGCTAGAAGGATTGTGATTTACTGTTTTATTTTTTTTAGTTTTTCTTGTATTCCATTTTGAACACATATAATACACACAAGGAAAGAATGTTAATTAAAGTTATTTTCATTAGAGTAGAAGCATGTAGAGATATTAGACAACTGATTTACTTCTGAGGTTTCTTCCATCATATAAAATATGATTTATATTATCTGTCTTGTCTACTTTGTTGTGACGTTATAGAGAGATAAATATACCTGTATTTTGTAAATAGTAAAGCCCTGTGGAAATCTGTGAAAGAAAACACACTGCTCTTCAGAAATCAGGAGAGTTCATCTTTATTTGTAGACAAAGCTTAGTAGCCTTTGGGTTGTTGTGGCGTTTTAATAGCATTGACGGCCCATACTTTTATGGTATTATAAAGAGCTACATTTATCCTTGCAAGTTTTTTAAAGTACTATTCCGTTACTAATTTATTGGGATTTAAAACAGTATCTAATGGCATTATTCACATAATTTCCCTCCAGGCATGGATGGGCAGAAGCCTTCGCGGGTATCAGAAGTTCACATATCAAATATATCTGCCCGCATGCGTAAGTATTTTAATCTTTACATTTGTGAGTCAGAATCTGGAGAGGAATCATTGTGATACCTTTACTTTTCTAGAAAAGCATTTAAATATAATTTGTTTTTGTCCTTTTAAATATTTGGTTTAAAAGTAAAGATTAGTAAATTCTTTAAAACTAAACTGGTGACTTGGCTACATAGAATTTTTTTCCTGTTATGTTGGGAAATTTAAAATAATGTTCTCTTGAAGGTCAGTTGAACTGAGAACCAGAAAAATTCCTTTAGATATACACACATCTGAGATCTAAGGATATCCACAAGGGGATTTATTTACTTGTCAAGTTTGTCTTTACTATGTTGGAAACACTCCTAAAGTTTATCAGGTAAAGGCATTGTGATACACCATGGGGAAAAAAACCACAGGTTTTGAAGTCTCATAGGTTTGGTTTTAAATTCTGGAGATGCTTGTGGATGTCAAAAAGAAACTA